CCCCCCCTCCCCCTATCGTTGTTCGGAAGGTCAGAGGGGCTAGTCGTAATACCTCTCACACTATATATATCGTACAAGTGGTAATAAGATTACTGTGCTGTCATCCAATCCATCATTATCCGTATTAACTTATCCTCTAGGGCACAGATGTTCCACACATACTCAATAAGTTATCCAGTTTGTCGTCATAATCCCATCTACGCAATCATCGGTCTGGACGACTATCTAGCTATATTAAAGGTCATCTATCAAAATATGTATCGATATCCTACAGCTATTAAGCAACACATCTTCCATCCGCCCTCAAAAAAGACCTAAAATACTCAAGAAAAATTACCTAAAATATGAAATGCTAAAATGAAGAATGTTTATAACGATATACTGAAACTGATTCCTGGGTTCTAGTGTGATTTCATTTCTGACGTCACTTCCTGTCGGAAGCGGCTCCCACGACCCGAGACCTTCCCGCAACCAACCTTCAAGATTCTTCGCATACATGTAGGAATATATCACTTCGTCTTAGCTCAAGTTTCATCTCTTTATCACTCAATCCCAGACGTGAACACACGAGAGCATACTTTAACGTGAACTCTAAGTAGTATACGGCAAATTATTCATCTTCAATGTTTTGGCGCGTAGTTTGGGAAACAGGAGTTGGAAGCTGTTAATTATGCCTTCAGAAAACGTCCAAGTTGCGGTATTAATTCGTCCTTTGAATGAAAAAGAACAGAAAGAAGGCTGTAATTCTATAGTAGATGCTAACAGAGGCGAGATAAATGTATATAACCCGGAGACAGAGAAAAACAAGGGCTTCAAGTTTGACTGCTCGGTAAGACTTCACTAGACTCGACCCTCGAAATTTTTATTTTGTTTGACTTTTTGGATTTCTCATTTATGATGACGTTCTGTCTATTATTTAACCAAGTTCAAAACTTTTCTCTTTATAATTATTGTGGTTAACTTTTCGTTTAAGTTCTGGAGCGTTGAAGAAGGCAAAACTAACTTTGTCCCTCGGGATCAGGTAAGAGAAGCGGGCTATATAAAACACTGGTTTATAATATCACAGTAATTTATACATAAGCTAACTTTGAGATCTGTTGGGGATAAAATCCCGAAACAGGAGCCTGGATAAATATTTGTAGTGGATTAAGCTTTTGTGTGGTTGCTTCAATGAGGTAATAAGGGATAAAAAAATTTTTTTTGGTTTAGATTTTTGTGTTGAATCACAGGTCGCAATCCATGTGTCTTCTCGCTTGATCGGCTTGCGTGCCAAACTTACTCAACTTAGTTAAATTTTTAATATCTACCCAAGCAGTTTTACCCTAAATTAAGTGTTTAGACCAAAACAGTTGTGTTTGACGCTTGTTGTGGCTAAGAATAATGACAAAAATGACTATTTTTGATGTCCGACCTGGAAATATTTGAAACTTCTGTCAGATGGCATGATTACTCCTGCAACTCGACCGGAACTTGTCTTATTTTTCTCTCAAACAAGAACTTTATTCAGCCGAATTTGGATTTCTTTAAGATTTAAGTTACGGTTAACTTAACCTTTCTATTCTCTCGATAATCGTGCAAATCCTCTGATAATATTATTGTGCACGAGTTATTTAAAGTTGACGTGATCGAAGTGATCAGAATGTTTGGTTGGAATTCATTTGAGAATATCGAAACGTCAAAATGATTTAAGATCATTCCTGCATTTCCCCTTTATTTTACCGCTCAATATAATGAAAACCTTTTAGATCTCATATCTAAAATAATAGGCCTGTCTATTATAATTTTGAGGGGCTACGTTTCATACGTAGAAATTGTTTTTTTAGATTTATGATGTATCCTGCTGATGATGTTAGTGTTAAGAAAAAACCATTCGAAAGAACACCCATCGCTTTTGCTTATGTGTTTTAAGCTTTTTCATCATCCTCGTACTATAGTTGCTAATCCTCCCTCTCATAGTTCCTAAACAATAGCTCTGTTTTGTATTTTCTACTGTTAATATAATGTACAGTATAGACCAGTAGATGCAATAAAACACTATGTACATTGTAAAAGTATTGTACTTGTAGAAAACACGTAGTTCGATGACAGACTGGATTATGCAAACATTTATGCCCGTTGATTGCATGTACCCATGTACCCTGTAGGTTTGTGGCATCAGGTAAATACATTTGTAACATATATTTATTTTCCTTGTGGAGTCGGTATTTTAAGTATTATTTTTGTGGTTTTTTAACTGTCATCATCATTTGGAAAAATATTCTATTCATTTTTGGAATGGAAACTATTATATTAAGCTTTCAGTATGTGACATAACTGATCATGAAATATTATTTTGAAATATAACGTGTGCATTGATTGGCTGTATAAGTATTTGAGATATAATGCATGCACTGATTGGCTGGCCACAATGTTTGTATCAGAGGACAGAACCATTCAAAAATATTTTATGAACGGGCAATATAAAATCTGTAGTATTGTGATATAAACAGTCTTGGAGCTGTAGAGCACTGGATAAGCAACTGGCTATGCCTCGCTTGCTCTACTACTGCTCCTAAAGAACAGAGACATGCACACTAGTTTAATATTCCTTAAGAAAATTGAAAGAAGTAAGGCCTAGGGCAAACGTCGAACTTTCCATGCACCGAACTCATTAAAAACAATGGATATCAGGTGATAATGAGGCGGCATTCTTTGATGTAATTAAGTTCGGTGCATGGAAAGTTTGACGTTTGCCCTAGACCTAAGATCTATATATGGATGAAACTATTGCACTGATAAAGTTAAAAAACGAACTTATCATAATGTTTTTATTTATTTATTTTTTTAAACATATTTCATACATGCTATTTTTAGTATAATCTTACAGTAGCATCAAATTTGGAAAACCTTTTAATGGTTGCTTAGCCTTTTCGTTATTTCTTTATCTTTACCCTGAGGCATAATATATATCTTTCATTCATATTCTTTTGACATTGCACTTTATAGTTCTCCTCACCCTCTACTAGAAGCAGTACACAATCAATCAATTTCTACTGCCTAGATTTAAGGTTCAAACAGGTTCAAATAAAAGTTACAGTTAAATTGTTAAACTCTTGATTGAAAGGCTTTCATAGTAAATGACAAACAAGTTGTTTACCTTTTTGATTTGGGCTTCAAGGAAACTTAATTAATGTTTCTGACTAATATAGTCTAATATAGCACCATATAGGATGAAAAAGTTACAGTAAATATAAAAAGCATTAATTATCATGACTCTAGGTTATTCTAAATTATATTTTCAAATTTCTTTTTTATGCCTCTCTCTCATGGAATATCCATAAATTATAAACCATAATTTGTCAAATAATGTGATGTTAGTCATCAACTAGTGGACTATCATCAATGCTGCGTTCTGATTGGATGAGCTACTACTAGGGTATAAGTTATATCCTACTAGTAGCGAAAAGTGCCGGCTATGAAATAAACCAACTGACTAGTTGGATTTGACTAAAACAATTAACTCTTGCCCTCATGGCTTGCATATTCAGGCTCGAGGACTAATTGCTAAATAGTGTATTGAAGCCACACTAAATGCCAAAATTATTGTATATTTTGTCACACTTGGGCAACACCCATGATTGAGTTTGCTATATTTTGACTAGCTTCAGTTATAGATTCATTCTGGTGCCGCGGTAGCCATTTAATCACAACATATTCCCTAATGTTTAAGGCCATATACAATTTCTTTGAGTAAAAGATTTCAGTTTTGAGTTGCATGTACGTGATATGTTTTCCTACGATGGCAGCTAAACACACTGTGATTGGCTGAAACAAAATTTACTTCTCAGCTGGCTGTTAAAACAAAACTAAGCATGAATTTGTTGAATTTAAAAATTAACATGCTAGATTAAATCTTAAGACAAAAAAATCTCGATTTTCCATTTTTTTCTACAGGCTGTAAAAGAAATAGGAAATACTCTGCTAACATCAGCTTTTAAAGGATACAATGGCTGTATTTTTTCATATGGAGCAAGCGAGAGTGGAAAATCTTGTGCAATGTTTGGTACGGATTCTAGTAAGGGCCTTATACCGTGGGTATGTGCCGAGCTGTTCTTGAGGGCAGACAAGTATGATAGTGACACTTCTTTTAGAGTGGAAATCAGGTTAGTATAAAAGTTTGTTTTATTATGAAGGTGTAGACAGCTGACATAGTCTGAGTAGCAATCCCATGGGGGGTGGGGAAGGAGAGGATATGGATAGTAGGGTCCTGCATAGCTGTACCAAAATGTATCAAAATTTGACATTGTTATATACAGTTTTATGTTTCAATGAATAGTTACAGTGCATTTCACATAACTTTTGACAAGTCGGTTCCAAAGTTTGGTTTCGAGTGCAATTTGGAATAAATTTGAACGAGTGGGTTTTCAAAGAGTTTGAGCTCTTAGAAAACCCATGAGTTCAAATTTATTCTACATGTAAATTACACAAGAAAACCATATGATTTTCTTTAATAATATAAATGAAAAATTTGAAAAGAAAAATTTAGTATTTTGCTGAGGAAAGAGCAAAAATCTCAAGAAAAAACTATTAGCTCGCACTCGATGATATTATGATGGAGTCAGTAGTGTGGACTCTTCAACCAAATATTTTTCCAAAAACAGAACAAAGTAATCAACTTTTGTGGCATTTTCTCTGTCATAATAAAAAAAAACTTATAGCTTTCAACCATCACCCCCCCCCCCCTCAGACAGGGCTAAATTATTTGCAGTGTTTTATTTGTAGTACAGTGTAGTATAGTCCAAATAAGGTTATTAGGAAATGTATCCTAACAGTTTGATTGTGTTGTTTATAGTTTTCTTGAGATTCACAAAGAATTTGTTAAAGATCTCCTGGGTAAACGACGCAACTGGCAGGATTCATTGCGAGGTTGGTTTAAATTTATGTCGACTGCAGAGTATTTCCTGCTTTTGCGGTGCTCTATTCTCCTTCACAGCTGTCATTTGTATTGATCCCAAATCCTCTCAGGCTCATGAAGAACTGGAAACGACACTAATTACTGCTGCAAAGGAGATTAGCAATACATTTTAATGCTCTGGTTTGTGAATGTTTGGTAAAAATATATGTATTCAAGAGTGTTTAAGCAAGAAATAGCTTGTTTTGCTTCACATTTCCTCCATATAACCTTATTGACATGTCCTATATTACCCCTGTTTAGTTCATACTTGTCATAAGTAATAATTAAATAACCAGAATCAGGATCTCCATATTCAAATTCTCTCTGTTCTTTGTAGCTTTAGCTTTACGGCCATTCTCAATCACACGCGCCGCTCTAGCTTTTGGTGGACGTCAATCAAAGTGTTTCCATGACATTCTTTAGGCACCTGCCTTTACAGCTTTGTGTTTTCCAACAATGTTATGGAAATGCCTTGTGATTGACGTCCACCAAAACCTTCTTCATCGGGACAGAAGCAATCGCTAGAGGTCGCGTGTGACTGAGAATGGCTGTAAGTACCTGTAATAAGGAGCACTGATAGTGTGAGGGTGTATAGTGCACACATTCAAGTGCTTATACATAAGCCCCTGGCTTGGGAGAATTGGTCAACCACTCCCTGCCTTATCGAAGTAAAATATTAGCTTTACCATATACATTTTAGATTAAGGGCCTTCCTGTAGGGAACCACCAGTAGAATCAGTTGTTACCTAGAGTTTCTTGATTTTCAGTGCGAGAACATCGTGAGTTGGGAACATACATCGACAAACTCACAAAGCACATCGTTACTGACGCAACAGAAGCAGAAAATCTCATCGCAAAGGGAAAGAAAAACAGGTAATTCACCAATGTGACCCGGGTTGACGTCCTGCAGGGCTCAGTGTCGTATGTCAGTAGAGTTGTTTTCCGGGTTCTCCGGCTTTCCTCCCTCCGTAAAAATCAACTTCTAAATTCCACTATTGGAATTACAGTGAATGAAGAGCCACTCTGTGGAAATGCCACTGCTAAGTCCTATTATTTTTATTTTATTTCAACTTTCTTAGATTTTGTATGTCTGCGGAATGACACGGCACGGCGCTTTGGTCGTTCGCGGTACGAAACTGACTATATCCTTCAAGCCAATCACAGACCTTTGCAAAATCACTTTTCGTCCAATGAAAATATTTCTTACGGTTAATATGATCACGTCTCAACATGTCCGCATCGTGAGTTAGTGTTACAGTCATGAGAAATTGTTTTTAATGAAGTATCTGTTATGAACTGTAAGAGATAAATGTTGATAAGCTGAATCAAGGTTCGATTTGCAGAAAAATTTGAATTAAGGGACTTTTTTACTCTTTCCCTCTCTTCCCTAATTTGAAAGAAAGATATAAATAACGAGAGATCAAAAAGGGCGGGACAAGTTGATACATTAGCCGCCGCAATAATGAAAACCTAACATTCTTGGAACAATTTGACAATCTTCTTTTTTCATTTTTTAAAGATCAGTATGTTCAAGATCATCGACAAACTTATTCAGCAGTTCGCACACTATTTTTACCATCAAGTTCACTCAAGTAAGTGTCCAACAGAACTATTCCGAACCCATGAAGTAAAAAAATAACGCATAATGTTTTAATGATAGCAGTGTTTTTGCATCAGCTGCAAATATGGTATGTCCCTTTTGTGAGATAAAAATGGGTTCCTTTCTAAACCAATGAAAAACAGAGCACGAAAATGCTAATTCTCCAATCCCAATGCGTGAAAATGGGGAAGCTATTTGAGTGTTGCTTGAACTTTGTGTCTGTGTTTTTTCCCCTTCTTTTTACTACAAATGCCCTCTACACGATTCTGTCAAAGATCAAACAGTAAATACTTCAATCACATTGCTTGGGAATCCAATTACTTGCCAACGGACCTTTGTTATTCTTCTTGATTTAAAAACATGATTTCCGCTTTGACCCAATAAATGAAATTGAAGTGAAAACGAAAGCTATCCAATCACAGGGTTTGAATGGGGAAACCATTTATGTGTCACAGTGCTTGTGCACGTTTTTAAGTTACTTACAAATGGCTTCCGTTCTAAACAAATAAAACATCACTTCGGTAAAGATAACTACCCTGCTTGACTGGAGAAACCATTTGTATGCCATAGTGCTCGTGCACAGCGTTTACTCGTGACATACCAGTGGCTTCCACTCTGGAGTAATAAAACAACATGTAAACGCTGAAACTTCATTTTCCATTTCCTGTCGGGGGTAGCCATTTATCTGTCACAGAGCTGGGTTTTCGTGACTTCAAATGGTTTACCACCACACTCAACCAATGAAACCTCAATACAGGGTTTGACTGGGGAAACCATCTAAGTGTCAGAGCTGTACGTTTATTCGTGTCTTTCAAATGGTTTCCGTTCTGAGACGACGAAACATCACGAAAACGCAAATGCAGTGCCTGTCTAGAAAAGCCACTGAAATGTCACTGTCGCTATCAGTTTTTCGTGATATCTTAAAAACCTGCACGTGTTTTTGTGGCTCACAAAACACTCGACAAAACTATCTCATGAATCACAATGTCCTGAAAGAAAACCATTTAAGTGTTAGCCTATGCTAAACACGTTTAGATATTTCGAACTTTCAAATTTACCTAATTTTTCTTCCATTTGTTTGACAACGAGACTGATGCAGCTGCGAATTCACTCGCCGCGGGAATCACACGCAAGCAAAAAAATAAATAAATAAATAAATAAAAGAAAATCATGATAATAATCCAGTGCTATGACTGTCGTCATCCTATCTTTGATTTTATCTTTTTCCAGTGTTTGTGCGAAATACTTCGTTTTTTGTTGTTTTTTTTTTTACATCTTCCCTCTCTCCTTCATCCCTCTCTTTTCTTATGCTATTTTTTCTCTTCTCATTCTTGTTAATTTTCTTCCCTTCCCACCAATTATTTCATGTATTTTTTATTTTTAATCTTTGCTCTCTCTTTTCGTCCCTGTATATCTCTCCCTTTTATTCTCTTCTCTCTTCTATTTTTCATTTCAATTTTCAACTGTTTACCTACGAAATATTTCATGATTTTCAAATCATGTTTCCCTTACCCCCCTCTTCCCTCTAATGCTAATTTTCACCTGTTTTCCTGCGAAGCATTTCGTGTTGTTACAATCATTATTTACATGATATTCAAGTATCGCTGTATTGTTTGTGTTGACAGGCTCGTTTGGAAGAAGGTATGCCGTGTGAAATGATAAGCACTCTTCATCTGGTGGATCTTGCCGGAAGTAAAAGTCCACATGATGAGGTATGACGACAATAATTCATCGAAGATACACGTCTCCGAATTTAAATAACATAAGCTCTGTTGGAAATAAACTATCCGAGGAAAGGAAAATCTATATTGGAAATTATTGAAGCTCTCAAATTCTTATTATTTTACTTCGCAAATATTCTTGTACTTATAAACAATGGTGGTTTTACTTAATATTTTGAAGTTTGAAATGTTCATAAAACACTTTTGTTTTGATCTTTCATAAAAGATTACCGGATAAAGCCAGAAATTCAAGAGATATATCAAAAAGAAAATAGATATCCCACTTTATAAATCATGAAACGCCGTTATTGGTTCTCAGGTGACCGGGAATCGATTTGTGAAGCAAATTCTGTTTGTAATTCTTTTGGAAGTGAAGGGTAGATTAGCGGTAGAGCATTCGCCGGTCTCGTGTTCAATTGCAGAACTCAGCATCACACGCACGTGCAGTAGAGATTATAACATCTCTCCATTGAATCGAGGGTTTTTTCTCACGTAACTCCGGTTCTTCTACCTCCGTAAAGCTTAGCACGAGTTACCGGTGCCCTGTCTTAGATCAGCCCAGAGGACTTAGGTCAGCCCAGAAGTTGTTTCAAGGTTTGATCTGTAAGTTAGCCATGCCCTGACTTAGATCATCCCAGAGGTTGTTTCAGGTTCATTCTGTAAGTTAGCCGTGCCCTGACTTAGATCAGCCCAGAGGTTGTTTCAGGATTCATTCTGTAAGTTTGATCTGCGAGTAAGTTGGCCCTGACTTTGTTCAGCTCAGAGGTTGTTTCAGGGTTTGATCTGTAAGTTAGCCGTGCCTTGACTTAGATCATCCCAGAGGTTGTTTCAGGATTCATTCTGTAAGTTTGATCTGCGTGTAAGTTGGCCCTGACTTTGTTCAGCTCAGAGGTTGTTTCAGGGTTCCATCTGTGAGCTACCCTTGCCCTGACCTAGATCGGCCCAGAGCAGGGCCCAGAGGTCGTTTCAGGGCATCGATAAAAATAGTAACAAACAATCAGAAGAAAAGACGGATATACATACCTTTAATAACGTACAATGCGCAGGTGCTCTGGGCGAGGAGTTAGCTTCGTGCGCTGTTTTTGCGGGCAGTCAACGATTGTTCTTCACTTCCTTACCGTAACCGTGCCATTTGCCACGTTCTTTGAAAGTTATTTGATTAATGAATTCGACTGCTTATACCTCTCCTACTTCGAGCTTATTGATGTGTACACCTACTTGCAAAAGGGTTGTCATACAAGAATAGAACATTAGTAATTTAGTGAGAAAGGATTACATTAAAAGACAAAAGAAAAAGTTCAGCTTCAGTGATCTTCTTTTGTTTTTTAATATAATTCCTATCCCACTAAATCACTAATGTTCTATTTTCGTATGACAACGTTCTTGCAAGTAGGTGTATCTTTATTCTTACGATTTTGTTTCATAACACTATTGTAATGCGGGTTGGGAAACTACAAGCAATGCTGTTGGTAGCTGATTACTGTTAGAGCCTGAAGTCTGGGTCATTATAAATGTAATCAAAGGAATGAAGTCGGCTTTGAAAACTTGTCAGCTTGGAATTTCTTTCAAATTTGATTGTCGCCTTGATGGTCTGGTATTTCATCGGTAAACGGCCTGAATCTGCCACAATTGCTTCCACGATATAGACTTTATTGGCGTTTAATTGAATATTAACACTTTGTTTGGATTTATTATTCTTTTTAGTGCTACTATCAATTAGTGTCTATTGGAACCTTCAATTTTCAGTTTCAGTTATCAAAGTAACTCTAAATAAAACTAATGAAGTTGATGAAGAATTTTTGACAGTAAAATATCAAAATTAAAGACAGCATGTTGTTAACGAGGAAAATACTTGAAATTTTGAAGGAAAACTGAAGAGAGAGGAAAGAGCGGAGAGAGAGAGAAAGAAAGAAAGAAAGAAAGAAAGAAAGAAGGAAGGAAGGAAGGAAAATAAGAAAGAAAAGAGAAAAAGAACTGAGAGGGAGAGGGAGGGAAAGAAACTAGTCAATTTAAAAAAATGATATTACTTTTAATGTTAAATGTCTTCAGTAGATAAATGCTCAACATCCAAAGCGTGCATCCCAAAAACCAAGAAATAATATTTCGTCTAGTCAGTGGTCGAGCCCTGAATCAATTAACATCAATACATCGTTAACATATGATCAAGCTGCTTGATAGCTACTACTAATAATCCTTAATATACATCTAACCGTATCTAGTTTTGTGTAACCACAATTCACCCCAAAATTCACAGCACCTTGACGTACAACAAACTCGAGTGCTTTTTCTATGTTGCTTTCAATCAGAAAAAAATATTTCCCCGCATTTAGATATTTCCTTGCGGTCGATCATGTAAAATTTATGACTCTCTAATTCTTGAAGTATTCCGCGTTTTGTATAATCATTGAATTAATAATTGATCATAAAGATATTAAGGCGGCACTCGAACTGTTGTGAAAATGTTTTGTGTTCGTTGTTGAGTTGTTATTGTCGTTTGGTTTCTCAACACGCGTTCTGCCGTACTCGCTTAGAGAGTTTGAAAAGCAACAACAAGGCAAGTCTTCGCTTCGTTTTACAAACTTACCACTCCAAACATTCTTGTTTCACTCCATTTCTTCTTCGATACAATTGTAATGTCTCGATAGAAGTTTTCTACTTTCTTTCTTTATAGAATTAAGAACAAACGTCACCTAAAAGTTTTAATCTTCTGAATTTTCGATTTGCCTTTATAGACTGAGAACGCGGAAGCAATACGAAACTTTTTTATCGTATTTCAATTCTGATTTTCTTCTTCTTTTGCGATAGACAGTTCATATAAATACTTAAATCATGTATTCTATTTACGAAGGAAACTCATTGAAATTATTTCAACTCAAAACGTTCATGCGTTTCCTCTCATCTTTAGAGCTTTCGGCTTTTTTCTGCCTGAAGAATCGATAAATTTTGAAGTCTTCAGTGCCTGTGAAAACTGTGGTTCTCATTTAGTTTTTGTTGACGTTTTTCATGGTTCAATGTTGTAGAAGCCTTCTCGTTTAAAGGCACTGTGTTAATTGCCATCAACCTAGAAACATTTTTTTACAAGCGTCAAGTTATTTCAGCAGGTAAAAAAGATAATTTGATAGCAAATTGTCGTATCTGTTGAAGTATTATCTCCACCAACTACATTTTCATTCATTTGTCAGCAATTTTCTATTCATTACGTTGTTAAAAACACAACAAATTGGACATAATGTAATGTCGTATTAATATGAAGTTCTTGTGCAAGTTTTAGATCTTAAATGCTAGATTTACTCTGGTGAGTTTAGAGTTGTGTGTATAGAATATTCAGATGTAGTAAGGAGTGTGTATGGAAGATACACACGTCCTCATAAGCATCTAGCTTTAAGGCCTGCCGTGTATAAATAAATAAATGTATTTTTTTATATTCAAAACCACTTCAAAGCTTGATAATTTTTCTTGTTAGTATACACATATAAGGTGTTGTTTTATTGGGGGGTGTTTTATATTCTGCTTTGTTTTGTTGTAGTGTGTGAATGGTCATGTAAGCTGTGATGGAGATCACCCTTCCACTAGCCATTGTGACCAGTCGATTCTAACGCTTGATCGTGTCATCTCAACCCTCGCTAGCAAATCAACTACAGCCAAGAATCAAATCGAACCTCCTTACAGAGAATCAGTAAGTTAAATAAAACGTCAACAAACATATCTATTGCAACCCGTTACTTTTATTTATTTTATTTTATTTTATTTCATTTCATTTCATTTCATTTCATTTCATTTTATTTTATTTTATTTTATCTTATTTTATTTTCCCCCTCGGTTTATATAACTGATGAATTTTCTTTATCCAATATTTTCTCTCACTTATATATTTTGATATTGATTTTAAATCTTTCGTAAAACTAAGCTAATATATTGTAATATTGTCACAGCGGTATACGACCAAATATTTTTCAGTTCCTTTAATGTATTTTTACGCCCTGTTCTCGCTTCCGGGAAACTTCGAAACTCTTGTATACTTTCCTTGTGTCAGTTTATCAAACCTGTAGTCGTAATTGCTCGTGATAACGTTATTTTTAGGCCCTAACTTGGATTCTAAAGGACTGTTTTGGAGGGAATTGCAAGACCATGATGTTAGCTGCGGTCTCCCCCGCAGATATCTGTCATAACGAGACTATTAGTACACTACGTTATGCCAACCAGGTCCAAAAGGTCGTCAATCATCCTAATATCAATGAGGTAAGTCAGTGTGTTAAGAGGTTTTTACTCGTACACTAATGACATGCTGGACGATGACTTCTTTCACTGTATATGACTAGTATTATCTGATCATTCACTTCATCATTTACTTCACCATCCACATCATCATCATCATCACCATTATCATCATTAGTATTATTGTTAACATCTATAGACCTGAGCTATTAATATTATCTGTATCACCATTATCATCATCATCGCTGTTGTTGTCATTGTCGTTATTGTTGTTAATTTTCAGTATCGTCGTCCTCATTTGTAAATAATGATGTTTTTTGCTTCATTGGAAAAACTAAAAACTCATTTCACTGAAAAAGAAAAATAGAACGAAA